ACAACGAAATTAAAATCATTGGAGACGATTATAAATTCCATCGACAGAATCACGTAGCTTCTACGTGATAATCCAGTAACCATCTCGCTCACTGAAATGAGTGCTTCCATGCATGAATCACGTAACTCTTACGTGAAAAGTGCGATGGAAAAAATCTATGTATGTTTTCACGTAGCATTGACGTGAAAATTATTTTGAGTGTAGTCTCTTTGACTTCATAAATTCCTATCACCAAACATTTTGCTTTTTTGAACTTCAAGTCTGAAAGAGAAAGATATGAACTGTAGTATCTATCCCAACCACACTAACTACCTCTCAATATATTCACCTTGATTAGCAAATCATCGATTTTCTTATTGCCAGCTTCTCTAGCGCCACTGGTATACGCTGGTACGGTTGAGTAGCGCCACTGGTATACGCCGGTACGATATCGGTTTTGATTGGGATGTCCACGATAATATCTAGCTAGAGCTGGAATTAGGGCGTAACAGCTTTTGTAAACAATGACTTCTATCGATGGTTTCTAGGAGCTCGAGGCACAATCAATACAAAACTAAAAATTGGCTCATTTCTTGACTAGCCCAATTACATCTATAAGGGTACCCAATTCTCGAAATAGAATCTGTCAAAGTTTGCCTTTGTTTTGATTCGCCTTATAAATTAGGCAGAGTGTAATGAGGAGCTCGTGGATTTTCCTATGTTTCGAAGGGAGCTGCAATTAGCTAGGGACCGACGGTCGGGTACTTCCTGAGCCAAAAAATTAAGCATGTTTTTTGGGGACCCACTGGTCTTAGTGTTACTCTATGGTACTACTAGGTATGTCTGTCAGAAGTAGTAGGTGTATGATCTGAACACAGAAAAAGAAGGATTCTATCTAGATCAAGTCTCTGAAGCACTCTAATTTTGATTTGTAGGCTACTATATGCATTGTATTTCTATTTCGGACGAGTTCAGATTTGGGTCCATCTCTAGATCTCTTTCAAAAGCCTAAACATTCATGAGTTTTAGATGACTTTCATTTGTTATCTGAGTATTTAACTTCTCGATCAAAGACAATTTTAAACTTGTTGTTTAAGACATCCCTTGAAATATCATTAAGATTTTTCCGAGAATTTTTCAGCGTCTTTTTTTAAGGATTTCAATCACCAATCAACCGCTTACCCTCTCATTGGCTTCCCGTTGGGGCATTGAGGGCATTTAAAATGTTATGGTTTGTTCTGTCTGTTGCTCTATATTACTGGAAGAGATTTTCTAACCCTCCTTATGTGCATACATAGGGGGAGAGGTGGTGGTGGTGGTGCCAAAAGATGAGCGCAATAGAATCATCAAGTTGCCATAAGGCACGAAATGAGACTATTGCATGGCTGGGTAGTCAAAGTCTTCCATTCGTTAGTCATTTCAGGTGGATTAGAACAGGTTTAGGTTTAGGGTGGGCGTTGGCCAGATTTGGATTTTTCAGATGTAATCCTGGATAGGACCCTGTCATTGAACGTCGCGTGAAAGTGGAACTTAATGAAGGCCTAAGTACTTTTTCGTAGTTTTTAGTTTTCGGATTTGAAAGATCGTCGGTTACAGTGGCCTGCTTACTGAGCAGAAAAACGCGGTCCCAGGTCCTTACATATCAAAGAGATTTATGGTAAAATCGCTTGTGTATCGTGTATTTTGCGAAACTCGTTGTCGTTGGTTCCGGGTTTGAATGGATACACAAATTTGAGCAACGGTATTATGTGATATGAGGGGCTCGGTGGCCTTAGAGCAACCGTTTTTGCTTACTGAGCAGAACATCATGAGTCTAATCTCAGGCCCATCCACATTCAAGATTCGTCAATCGTTTTATTTGTTAATATGACTACATGGTAATAACAGCAACTCGGTGATTAAAAAGGTGCTCGTCTGCCTAGTGGCAAACGTTTTTGCTTACTGAGCAGAAGACCGTGGGTTTAGTCCCAAGCTCCTTCGCGTTATATGATCGTTGGGACATCAATTCAGCTTATCGTTTACCAAAACGAACCCTGCTGCAAACCCAACCCTCTTATCCAACATCCCAGTGATTCCTCGTGGAAGTGCAGACGTGTTCTCGGCTTCCATCAAAGCGAGTGTCATGTCAACACAATCCTTCTCATTCCTTTCTTGACCTGTGTTCGGGCGCGGCCGGCGCTGGTATTGCCTAATTTAAGATTACCAGTTTTTACACATTGATGATGATTGCTAGTCCCAAGCATCGTCTATTGGTTCTCTGTGTAATTACAGCTGATCTGGCAGTAACAGAGTAGCAACCGTGGGCGGTCAATCAAGCTCAAGCTCAAGCTCAAGCTCCTTATGTGCATACATAAGGAGCTCGGACTACGTCAACATACACGTGGACATTTTGTAGTCCACTTGAACCATCTTCTAAAGCTTTGTGAGAAGCTTTGAAGATCATTCTCATAGAGTTTATGTGTCCTATCTAAAGATGTTTAAAACTTTAACATTTTTACCTTCCATAGTGCTCAGTGTCTTCCGGTCAAGAGCTCTTACAAAAAAAAAATTACCCTTAGGGCTTGTTGAGCTGCTTCGAAAATCGTTTGGACCCTGTCAAAAGGTTTGTACCATATCCAAGGGGAATTCATGTAAGGCTTACTTCAGCTTTTCCAGTCTTCATTCGTGTGTAGCTTAAGCAGATCTTAGCCAGAAGCGTTCATTGAATTGATATCCCCTAAAGTTGAGAATTACCTTTATGATATAATATAAAGTTATATGAAACCTTTTCAAGGGGATTAACTGACCTTCAAAGGCCTGCTGGATCTCCTCAACAGAAGTTTTCTAGATCTCCACCGCTCAAAAAAATCGTATCTAGAAACTTCAATTCAAATATCATCTGATTCTCCTTCAGATATAATTGGAAGCCATTCAGAGATCTTCTGCATATCGTTCGGAGGTCATATACATCCCTACTTAAGAAATCGTTCAGGCTTACATTATTTAGCTTTGCTTAACAGATATTTCGGTTTAACTGAAAAAGCCTTTCAAAAATAATCTCAAGTAGTCTTCAATATCTTCCTTCCCGAAGAAGTCTCCTAGATGCCTCCAATGGTTCTACAAAAAATAACCTTTACGTTTTTCTAGTTGAAATATTTACAATACTCTCCTTGTTATTCTTCCACAGATTTTCTGTAGAATATTTCTTAGAGTTTTAACTATTATTGCTATGTTGAAGTCTGACTGATGTCTTCCACAGAAGTCTGCAGAAGTTTTGTTCGCACTTGTTCTCCAGACTACTTTGAAAATTTAAATTTGATGGCATCTTGAAAATTTTAACTAACGCTAATGCTACTTAGGATTGGAAAATAAATCAAAAGGAATGTAAATAACTAGGCTAATACGTTTCCATACTTTACAATGTGTTATAAAAATAAAAATAATATTTTTTACGATCTAGAGTTTTAATTAAAGCTTGAAATATAAATATTTGATCTCACATTCGAATTTCCTTATCTTTGCTTTAATATTGAAACCACCCAAGCAGCACACTTGTCACTAAACAGTTGTGGTTACTTGTATGTAACTTATTTCATTCGCAATCGAGTTGCGACAACTTATTATGATGGACGTGTGTTGCTTGGGCAAGCACTCCCCCAACAAACATTTAAGCTGATTAAAAGCTGAATAAACCTATTTTTAGCAGAACAAGCTACTTTAAGGCTGAATAAGCTACTACCTTTGATAAAACGCAACTCACTTTGAAGATCTCTCACAAACGATCATTCAACCACGAAAAGTAACCACTTCCTATTAGGCATGTTGATTTGTATAGTTGATTCGATTGAATTGAAACCGTTACGTTATATCGAGAAATACTTGTGTTCCGCTTTAAATGTTTGCTGGGTTCGTCTTTAAAATGGTTGACTTTTAGATCGGTTTCCAGAGTGCTTCCAGGGAAAACCGAGCCAAGGGAAAATCATCGATTTACTGAAACTGAGATCCTTTCCGGTTTTTACGTATTTTCGTTCCGCATATTCCTGATATGTATCAATATTACCTAACGGAATGTGTATGAGCGTGTCTTTAAATTTTTAAATATCAAAGTGTTTTTCTTCTGAGATCATCGCATGCCCACCAGTGGTGCGCACTGCGAAAGCAATTAGCTTCCAAACCACTTTGGAACTAAACTAAAACCGAAGTAACAAAAGTGACTGCGTTCAACAAACTTATTTCAACTACACCACACATTTTCAACCATTGCACAACAGATCGTATGTTCATTCGCTTCTTCTTTTTCATCATCTCCGAATCCGTCAAAATTCGTTCGCAAACTTTGCCCGCTTTGTGTTTCCGTTTTTTCCCCCGTCACTAGTTTAACCACTAAAATCAAACATTAACATTCACTTACTCACTATACAAAGGTTGGATACCGCGGCTAGTTTCTGTTAGTTTGCTGTACTTTTTTTCCCGGTTCTTTTCAAAACATCGCACTCCATTATTCGCTAGTTGGTTGGTTTGTTCTGGTTTATTTTGTCTTTAGTTAGTACGGTCAAGGTCTTTTTCACGGCCCTCTTGGTTTGGATGATTTTGTCTGAAAGTGATCTAAAAAGTGACACAAATGGAAGCTAAACTGCCCGTACAAATGACTAATATTGCACGTGAAAATTTAACATTGATTTTCTGACAGTTCCACGAACTTGTTTTCATTTTAGAAATCCGCTTGGCTATCAATCAATTATTAAGGTGTTTTTTTTTGGATTTTGATGACTTTTAGATTCGCGCTTTTTCGAAGCACACGTTCTGGTCAGTTTTCGAGCACGGTTACAGCACAGACAAACAAACGCAATTCTCCATCTTAGATCATCGTACACGCATTTGACGCTGAATTTATTGTAGGATTCCGTGTTTCAAACACCATGCAACATTTTGATTTTTGTTCTCAAACGCGTCTTTGCACGATATTTCACGCGGCCTTTGGTTGTTGAAACGATCGCGTTCAGGGAAACACCACAATGTTATATTAGGATCGAGTACTGTGAATCATTTGCTGAGTTAAATTTGACATTTCGAAAGCTATTTTCCATGTTCGAAAATCCCACAGCCTTAGGCTATGTTCCATTTGGAAAATTTTCACTTAAATTTGACACTTCGAAAATAAATTATGATGTTCGAAAATCCCTCTGTTGTTGAACAGCCGATTTTCGAGAAAGCATCTGTCAAAGTTGATTCCTTGGCTGTCATAAATAAGTCTGCTGGAATAACAGGTTTATTTGAAAATTTTCCATCTGTCAAATTTAAGTGAAAATTCACCAAATGGAACACAGCCTTAGGCTGTGAATCATTTGCCGAGTTAAATTTAACTCATGGTTAAAAGTGGCATTTCGAAAGTTATTTTCTATGTTCAAAAATCCCTGTGCTATCGATCGACCGGTTTTTGAGAAGAACTTAGCCAAGGTTGTCAAAATTTAACTTCTTGTCTGTCAGAACTAACCACGCTCGGATAGCAGGGTTAATCGATAACTTTCCATCTGTCAAATTTTAACCAATAGTTAAAATAATCCACCAAATGGCGCCCTCAGTGAGATCCGTGACGATGCTTTGAAGGAAAAGTTGTTCGAAGAGTTACGTCTGTTTGTTTGGGATTACAGTTTACAGACATCCGAGGCGAAATCACCATAAGGCTGTGAACCATTTGCCAAGTTAAATTTAACTCGTGGTTAAAAGTGACGTGACGTTTGGAAAGTTATTTTCTATATTCGAAAATCCCCGTGCTGTCGATCGACCGGTTTTCACCCACGGTTGTCAAAATTTAACTTCTTGTCTGTCAGAAATAACAAACCGCGGATAGCAGGGTTCATCGATAACTTTCCATGTGTCAAATTTTAACTAAAAGTTAAAATAATCCACCAAATGGTTCAGAGCCTAAATAAAAATTCTCAGAATACTATTCGAACTGCCAATTGTCTGTGGATGACGTCTTTGCGCGATACGGATACTCTACTGAAAATAAGATCGAATTTTGCACATAAATCCTATTTGTTTACCAATCCATAGCTCAGCTTTCAAGCTGCAGGCTTGAGGTTTTGTTTTCATGAAAACCCAATACACAAAATTCAATTTATGCTGATCGAGCAATTTATCACACATTTCGCGAAGTTTGAAAACAAACAACAATTGGTTGTAGCTATCTTCCGCAAAATCATCCTAACCTCATCTTTTGTATTTTTTTTTCTCGATTCGAGAATCCGGCTCTGCTGTTCGTTTAGGTTTGTGATTGAATTTTCTGAGTATTCCTAACTTCATCATAAATTTCGTCTAATTTTAATATAATTTCATCGAATCACATTTTGCTGGTTTTTCCCCCGTAATTTTTGGTTTCGGTTTTTGGTAAACTCTCATTTTGCATCATCTGATGGCTTTCTGGTTTCTTGGAGGAATGGAGAACATGACCTGAACATTAGAAACTTTTGTTTCTTAATTTCACAATCGTCTGGTTCGACAGTTTTTATCTGGTTTTTGGAAACAATTTCAACGCGTCTAAATATTTTTTTTTCTGTTTGTCCGAATGGTTTTCTGTGTCTCACTTTTTTCCTATACTCTAAATTTGGGAATCACTACTGTTTCAATGGGGGTTGTGAACGAAAATAAATGAAAGACTAGAATTCTTCCCCCTCCAAGTGCATATTGTGTTTTTTTGCTTAACTTCAATGTGAATTACTGAACTACTGACTGACTGACCCTCGATGCCATAATTGCCATACCGCCGCTTGTGTGAGACCGTTTTAGCTTTCGCATTCGTTGGTTCGAAAACTTGAGCCTAATTGTATGAACTGTTCTTCTGTTTTGTCCAAAAACTAAGCTTCTGTTGCAACGGTGTTGCATAAAACACTTCTCTGTTTGACTCCAAAACTCATCTACTGTGTAGGATCCGTGGTGGATGACTATGACTGAGCTATGGTTGTTTGAATGATAGTATGTATTAGTATTAGTAGGCTCTCGTTGATTCGTCATGGCTGCTGGTGATGGTGCTCTCTCCGGTCGTGGGCTCACACCTCACACCATCTCAAACGACACTGGTCAGTTCCTGGAGGGTCGTCTGGTGCTGGTACTTTTGCTGCTGGCCGGCAATCGACAGCCGGACAACAACCTCACGGGGATGGCGGCTGCTGCTGTTGCTGCGTCAAGCCGCACCGCACGGCATGTTCGAGTTCGAACTGGACGAGTTCATACCGCAGGCCTTCAGCTCGGTGAAGATCTCGGTGAAGAAGCCCGGCTCGGCGTTGATCCGCAGCATGTTGGACGACAGCCGGTTCACGATCAGGAGGCATCTGGAAGTAGAGGCAGGTAGGTTTACATGTATAGTGAATTCAATTGGCTTGAAAAGTTGAGCCTGGTTCTACTTTTTTCAATTCAAGTGAGTTGATCAAGTCAGTTGAATGGCATGGTTTACACGTTCGATTCGCGTTCAAGTCAGTTGAATTAAACTGACTTTATCAATTGACTTGCCCTGTCTTAACCCAGCTTAAGTGTGTAGAGAATTTTCTTAAGATGTGTCCTATGAAGAACTCGAGAAGAACTATCGTTTAGAAATCTAGAAATCATCTAGGGGAAATGTTGGCTTCGGCAATACCCTTAGCTATTATCGTCAGGGGGGTAAGCAACCTCATTGAGAGCTCAATTTTGGCATGTGGATACATTGTGTTTCAGAGCATCTATTGGCCAAATTTGAGTGCTCTAGGACTTTGTTTACCCCCTGACGATAATAGGTTAAGGTATTGCCGAAGCCAACATTTCCCCTAGTTAATTTAGACATTGCAAACATTTGAAGGTGGGGCCTCCCTTAGCTCATTCGGTAAAGGCGCAGCTACAAAGCAAGACCATGCTGGAGGTGGCTGGGTTCGATTCCCGGTCCGGTCTAGGGATTTTTCGGGTAGGAAAATTTCTCGACTTCCCTGGGCATAGAAGTATGATTGGACTTGCCACACAATTATACCAATGCAAAAATGGTACAGGCATCGAAAGCTCTCAATTAATTACTGTGGAAGTGCATTTTGAACACTAAGTTGAGAGCACGCAAAAAGATATTGCGATATGCAATAAGCTTGAAATGCGAAGAAAAAGAAGAAGAAACATTTGAAGGTCCCAGGCACAGAAATTCAAGATTCAGGATTTGGTACAACTTTTAAAATTTTGACGCTTTGAACAGTTTTTTAGATTTCATACTTACAAAAAAAAAAAGGTTTAAGAAAACTCTTCAAAAGGGAAGTCTGACTCGCACGACGCCTCATTATAAGTCTGATCGGTAAAACTAAAGGGCTGAACACAATGACAGTGGAATAGCGGCACAGCGGCAAATGCGCAGTGTACTAAAATCGCACTAACCGCTATACCACTGCACAGTGGTACAGAATGCAGATTTAGGTGGAATGATATGTTTTTTTTTATTTGAAATTTATCATGAAAGTCATCTTCTAGAGACTTTTAAAACTCTTTAAGACGAATGTTTTATAGCTGGATTTGTTGCCTGTATCTCTTCTAATAAAAAAGATATACTCAAATATAGTAAAAAATATGAATAAATTCAAATTGATTTTATACGAGTTTAAAAAATAACATACCTCCAATTTTTTCATATTATTGAGAATAACATACGCCCTTTCAAATGCTGCAAAAAAACTTTTTTTTTGTTTGCCCCAACCAGAGATATTAACATTTGAAAAGTGCATATTTTTAGTATAAAATCGTCAATAACTCTTGATCGGCGAAAGATATTGACAAGTTTTGTGCAGCAAAAATTTGCGCCTTCTTAAGATCTAAAAGTTATCTGAAGACACCTTTGCTGAGAAATTCGAAATAAGAAAAATAGAGCAAAAAAACTGATTTTTAAAGAGCCACCCTAACTGAATTCAAGGAAATAGCTCTAAATCGCCCAATTTAAGAGATACAAAAAAGTTATTTTCAACAAAGTTGCTTGAAATTAGCTCAGCTATAACTTTGTAGAAGAATGTATACCTTAATTTATTCAAACAAAAAAGTTAGATTTTTGATTTTAATGATAATAGGAACCACCCTAAAATTCATTGTCATAAAAATGAGGGCCTAACTATAAGGAACAACTTTGTAGAAGAGACTTTTAGTCTAAAGTTCCAATTTCAGGCTCAAAACATATCATTCCACCTAAATCTGCATTCTGGACCACTTTGCCGCATTCCTACCCATAATATTTTTCCTCGTCCGTTGCAGGCTGTACGTAAACAAACCACGTAAACGGGATTATTTTGATTGCAGTTTTGAGTCATTTGTTATTTGAATAACCTCTTAAGGCTTGTACTCGAAAAAAATGCACCATTTTTATCCGTGGGTAAAAATTGATGAAAATCTAAGTATAACTAGTTTGGAGTGAATTGTTTACATGTGCAAAATTTCATAACAATCGGTTCAGTGGTTATTGAGATGTCATCGAAACAAGAAGAAAATCGCCGGAGAATTTTGCGTGCCGTCATGGAAAATCCGACTGCGACCATGAGATGGATCGGAAGACAACTGAGAATCACCCATACAACTGTGTCTCGGGTGGTAAAATCGTTTACGGAGTCCCAGACGACCGAGCGGCGGGCTGGAAGGGGAAGAAAATCGAAGACAGCTGACCCTGTGAAGGCCCGGAAGGTGTTGGATTATTTCAAGCGTAATTCGAACCTTTCGATTCGCGACGCGGCTCTGAAGGCAAAGTGTTCCGCCTGGTTCGTTCAGCAAACCATGAAACGAGCTGGGCTTCATGTATTCAAGGTCCGGAAGGCACCAAACCGGCGTGATCAACAAAACACGGCGGCCAAATCCCGCGCAAGGAAGCTGTATCGAGAGTGGTTAACGAAACCGATGTGTGAGGTTATGGATGACGAAACCTACATCAAGGCAGACGCAAAGCAGATACCGGGCCTGGAGTTCTACGTTGCCAAATCACGGTTTGATGTTCCGGAAGACAAAAAGAAGAAGAAAGTGGACAAATTCGTCAAAAAATACTTGCTCTGGCAGGCCATATGCCAATGCGGTAAACTGAGTAAACCGTACATCACAATGGGTACCATCAACAGCGAAATTTACCGCTCCGAGTGCCTTCAGAAGCGATTCCACGGATTACGCGCGATCGACGTTGGATTGGTACAGAGACAATAACGTTGTTTTTGTACCAAAAACCGCCAACCCTTCAAATTCACCAGAGATTCGTCCGGTGGAAAGATTTTGGGCCATAATTAAGGCCAAACTTCGAAAATCGTCCAAGGTGTTTAAGAACGAGCTGAAGTTGAAGAAAGAATGGATGAAAGTGACCAAAAAGGTCGGCTCCACCATTGCACAAAATGTAATGAGGTGTCTTAAGGGAAAGGGGCGGGCTTTCAGCGATGGAAAGGAAATTGAATAAAGTAATTATGCCGAAACATAATCCATATGTATTAGTTCATTCCCTGAAAGTTTCAAGAAATTCTGACTTAAAATAAATTTTTGGCGAACACTTTTGTCTGGTGCATTTTTTTTCGAGTACAGGCCTTATTCAGCTGACATAGTGAACAAAGATCAGTAGAATCAACAATCAATACGAAACTAACGATTTTAATCTGGCTCACCACTTTAGTAGCCTATTGGTCCCAAGCAAACGATTAACGTACCCTATTCTAGTTGAAATTCTATTACTACACTATGTTTGTTTTGATTCGCTATGAAAGTTTGACAGATAACATCAGGGGTGTGTGGATTCATGCAGAACATGCAGGGGTGAGTGAAATAGCTTGGGACTGCTTGGGACCGTTGTTCTGGTACTGAGTGAGCCAAAAATAATAATGATTTTCTTCGGGACCCAGTGGTCTTAGAGTTACCTCTATGGTAGAATGTCTTCTTCTACCTGAATTCTTGTACAAATATCCAAGGGACTTTGAAATCCTCCAAAGTTCAGTGATCGTATCTGGATTGGCATTAACTTTAAAAAATGTGGGAGCGCTTCGAGAAAGTAAAACCATAGAGGTAACTCTAAGACCACTGGGTCCCGAAGAAAATCATTATTATTTTTGGCTCACTCAATACCAGAACAACGGTCCCAAGCAGTCCCAAGCTATTTCACTCACCCCTGCATGTTCTGCATGAATCCACACACCCCTGATGTTATCTGTCAAACTTTCGTAGCGAATCAAAACAAACAGGGTAGTAATAGAATTTCAACTAGAATAGGGTACGTTAATCGTTTGCTTGGGACCAATAGGCTACTAAAGTGGTGAGCCAATTTAAAATCGTTAGTTTCGTATTGATTGTTGGTAAAACTGCCCAAGCTTCAGGTAAGTTCCGTGAATTTTAAGGGAAGTCTAGAGCTCTAATTTATTGAGAAGTTAAAAGAACTTCTGTGGAGTAAAGATATCTTTAGGGAAGTCCCGACCAGTGCTGTAAATTTTCATATCATTCGATTGAAGGTGAACCACTACAACCATTCAATCAATTCTGTGTAAACGAATTCTCACATGACCATAATTTGAAGAGCCCCTTTCTCATTCGAAGCTCATTGTCACTGTCAATTGAGTCACTCAGTATCATTTGATATACGACAGTGGAGTATGGAAGAAATCCAGGAAAATGGTCCCGAACAGACAAGTCGACCCGATGTCGGATCAATGTAAGGCTAATTTAAGGTCGATGTCGACCCAATGTCGTGTTAATGTCGGGTCAATTTTGGGTTTATGTCGGGTCAATGTCGGGTCAACATCGGGTTGGGGTTTGATAGAAGTCAGGTTGGTGTCGGGTTGGCTTAGCTTTTTCGCCGGAATGTCGACCAGAGCTCCGTTTGTGTGTAGGTTACACTCAATCGAATGATATATAGCGTTTCTCAAATGAGAATGATCCATGCCTTCGTCAAATGACTAAGCAACTGATATCACCCATTCGGAGGAGGTCCCCTTTGATAGCGAATAGCTACTTTTCTCATTTTCATCAAAAATGTTCAAATGATTTTGAGAATTTACAGCACTGGTCCCGACTATTGGGAAAGTTAAAAGATCTTCAAGAGAATATTAAAATAACTTCGTACGCTTCAGAAAAATGTTGAAAAAATCATCAAAGATCAAGAGTAGTTTTTAGGAGAAGTTCAGAGTAGTTCTGCGAAAAACTTCAGAGTATTTCTGTAGAGATTTTCAGAGTATGTCTGAAGAGAACTTCAGAGTAGTTCTGAGGAGAATTTTAGAGTAGTTTTGAGGAGAACCTCAGAGTATTTCTGAAGAGAATTTCAGGGAAGTTCCGAGAACTCCAGAGACGTTCCATTGGCCTCAGATAAATTTCGGCAAATTTATGAAACTGATAGTGACGCACTGAAAGCAATATTGACAGATTTTGGTTATCAAACATATATTTCATGACCTTTTCTTGTAACTTGCAAGTACTAATTAGCATTATACTATATCATGATTTCATTATTCCGAAAAACATTTTTTTTATAGCAAGTGAGTGGAAGTAACCCTGATGCTCACCAATGTTCTTATTTTTGAATTCTCTTGTAGTTTGATGTGTCACATGAGGTTGAAGTTTCAAATTTCACTTCTCGGTACACGGAACATGTCCGGATCTGGCCAACGTGATACTGAGTACTTAATATGGCCACCAATGATCTTATGTATGTGTCATATGAGGGTGTAGGGTCAAGAAAAATGTGGCCACTTCCCCGGGGTACCCGGAACATGTCCGGATCTGGCTAACGTGGTCTTCAGTACGTAATGTGGCCATCAATGATCTTATGTTTGAATTCTGATGTAGTTTGCTGTGTCGCATGAGGGTGTTGGTTCAAGACGACCATTTCCCCGGATTTACCCAAAACATGTCCGGATCTGGCCAACGTGTTCCTGAATACTTGATATGGTCACCAATGATCTTATTTTTAAATTCTGATGTAGTTTGCTGTGTCGCATGAGGGTGTTGGTTCAAGATGAATCTGTCCACTTCCCCAGGGATACAATGAATATGTCTGCATGCAGCCAACATGGTACTTAATAAATACCACCTTAGATGATTATTTGGTTCACGTCTTGAAAGTTCCGGTTAACCCAAAATTACGAAAAATACAACCAAAAACGTTGAGCTCTTCTCAGGCTGCCGCTCAACCGGACCGCGTTTTTCCAAAATGTTGAAAAAAAAGGCGCTTTTGCCGCAATTATGGGTTGTCAAACGGGTTACAGTGTATGTATTGGAAAATTTGCGCTTACCGCTATGCCGCTATACCGCTATCATTGTGTTCAGCCCTTAACTCAAAACTTTGAAAATGTTTGAGACTCCAAAGTCACTAGTTTTGACGTAGGACTACGTCTTTGATTTCTAAATGGCGGTACACTTTGTGAAAACCGAAAATGGAACATGTAACAAATTAAGAAAGATTTTGAACGTTGATAACTCAGTTGCCCCTGGTCCAATTTCAATAATTTTATCACCAATCGACCAGAAATATGGCTACGAATGTTGATTTTCAACAAGAAACTATTGAAAAACTGGTAAATGTCCAGCATTTTCCAAAAGCGTCGAATTAACTAAAAAATCCACCAATTACCTACATGCATATGCTGATTCCCTAGCACAGTCGTCAGAGAGTAGTAAGTAGACGAAACAAGTCGAAGTGGCATTCGCGCCCGATCATCGGGCGCGTACGAATAGGGCGGATAGAATTGCGTAATATTTTGCACACTCATCGCCATACTCAGAACCACACGCTCCCAACGACCACACCACTGTGTAGTGGTGTTCGGTGTCGAAATTAGTAGCAGTAGTAGCAGTGCTTTCGGCGAGTGGTGTTGAAAATTTTTCTCCAGTAACAACGAAAGGCTGCCTGCATGCAGCGAGCTGCAGAGCCCACATAAGGAGGAAGAAGCTTCACCGGTATGCTATGGATCGGAATCAGTAGCTCCTCGTGAGTCGCTGCGGGTCGGTCATATATGCCAAGCGTGTCACCCTCGCTCCAAACGACATACAGATCGACAGCCTCATCCGTGTTGAACAACCAGCTTAGAATTACTCAACCATCACTACAAAACGGCCACCAAAATTTTGTTAAAGAATATTATTTGGACATTGATCATGGTCATCAGTTCCCGGCAGCAGCTAGCTATCAAGGCTCAACCTGTCTATAGAAGGTGTGGAATTGTAGGCCTGAATATATTGGTGCAATTAGTTTTTACTCGGCTTTCATTCCGCACGATTCAATCACCCTTGCAGTGACGTCGAAAATATTAGGTCACTATTGAAAAATACCAAATGTCCAACTGTTGCAATGGTGATCAAAATTATTACCGAATGTCTGAACACAGCGCATTCCCTAACACAGACTTAAAAATCGCATTCGATGCGGTCCCACTGAACGGTGCTCATTCAATCACCGTAAGTGGTGGTGTCCAGTCCAGCAGCAGCAGTAGTAGCAGCAGCAGTAGCAGGAGTGCTTTCAGCAACAACAACAACGAAAGGTTGCCTGCAAGCAGCGAGCTGCAGAGCTCACATGAGCAACCATAGGAGGAAGAAGTCCCACCGCTAGGCTAGGATCGGAATCAGTAGTTCGTCGTGCTCAGCTCAGCATTACTCAACCAGCACTACAAAACGGTCCTTTTCAGGACCACCATAAATTTGTTAAGAGTATTATTTGGACATTTGTCAAGGTCATCAGTTCCCGCAAGCAGCCCGAATGTATTGGTGAGATTAATCATCGGCCGACCATTTTCCAGAACACGCTGGTAGGAAGTGTTAAAAATCCATATAGAATTTGAGAGAAGTGGGAATAATTCGCTTTGTATGTATATTCAGTCCCCAGAAAGCCAATAAAATCAAATTTGTGAGAAAATTAGCTCTCACGAGTTCAATCTCTCGAAGTCCCTCCTTTTTTACATATTCTGCACAAACGATACTTTCCGCCCCGCCCATTCATATAATTCGGAAGGAAATCCTGTGAGGGATGAATTGAATACACTTTAATACCAAAATTCACAAAACTTAAAAATTCATAATAAACAAAAAAATTAAAATACAGCTTTTAAAGTCGGGTCGGGTAGATGAATCGAAAATACTCAAGTTGACAGTCCCTTGGATTCTCTTCATCAACTTTCTCTTTTAAATAAATACTACAAATTTGATACGCTTACAAATAAAAAACGGAAAGAGTTAAGATAATTGATGATTGATCAATTAAAAGAACTAAATGTTTACATTTGTTCCGTCCACTAGCGGTCCTACGTCAAGCTTCCGTTCGTGCCCCTAGGCACAGACCCTTCTACTTTTTTTTAATGATTTCCAATTCGGTACTTAGGAACTCTATGTTGTTAAGTGTTTCAGCTCTAAAAAGTACAAATCAGTTTTCATACACAGGTTGTGTAGAACGCTTGCGCAAAAAGACTAGGGTGGGAAACGGATTCGAAACTCAAATGTCCACCGTTGTATAATTAGTAATGCACCCGTGAACTGAATGGGAATTGTGGGTTCGAATCCCACTGGTGCCCTTAGATTTTTTCGCAAATTTTCTCACAAACACACGTCTCTTACTGATGATATGTGCTAACCTCTCAGTATGTTCAAAACTTTCTTACAAAGTAATTAAAACAGATGACAAAAAGCACAAACATAGTTTGGAGATTGCAATCAAATTCCCGGTTATTTCCCGGTTCATTTCGATTACCAGTTGATTCCCGGTTTTCCCGTTTATGTGGCAGGGTTAGAGTGATTATAATAATAATAATAAAAAAACATATTTATAATTTATTTAAAAGGCATTTTATAGAACGATTCCATATATGTACTTTCAAGTGTGAACTCCTCTCTCTTGTTCAATTGATTTTTAGACCACTTTAAAAAGCGTTTCATAAAAATCTGGCTCAAGTTGTCCAATCACAGTGCATAAAGCAGTACTGACAGGTAAGTAAAAAATTAAAATCTGATTCATTATGAAACGTCTTCTTTTTTGGAAGCTTGAATCTATCTGTCTATCTATCTATCTAACTATCTATCTATTCTACTTCTTTTTCCTGGCAACACTCAAGCTTGTGACGTATCTCAACTTCGTGTTCTTTAAGGCACTTCCACAGTTATTAATTGAGATCTTTCTATGTTACCCAATGCATGAATTTGTGTATTGTGTGACAAGCACAATGATAACCAGGGAAGTCGATGAAATTTACAACCCGATAGATTTCTAGACCAGACCAGGAATCGAACCCACCACCTCCCGGTTTAATAATAAAGTGCCTTAACTGAGGTTCAAATTTACCTATCTACCATCCATCTATGTATCTATCTAAAACAAACGATCCCGAAAAATTACGTAACAAAGCCGATTTAAATCAGCCTAAACATATTCCGAAACCGCACCAACTTACCGATCCCAGAACTTGTCCTTGGAGTCCTCCACCAGGAACGGTTTCAGCGGGTAGCTTATCTCGTTTCCCATGTACGAGTAGGACAGATAGAGACAGGTCAGCACCGCTGCCTGCAGTTCAGCCTCCTTGGTCTCCTCGCCGTCCACCAGCTCCCGGACCAGCATGTACACGAACACCACATTCGCCGGGTTGATGAAGGCAACGTCCTGTAGAGAGAGAGAGAGATATATATATATGAGCGGAAATGGCGTGAAAAGTGGTTAGGAAGAGTATTATGTATAGGGCCAAGACAGGCAGGGGATTAAACTTGTATATGAATAAACAACCTCAGCTGAAAGATAACCCGAACCCAGCCGCTTTCGGAAAGGATAACCATCGTTTTTTTACTTTTCATCCAAACAAAACCTCTGCTCTCGCACCACCACCGGATGAAGGATGAAGTTTATTTAATTTCGGGTTTCCCGGAAAAGAAGGTCTCCCCGTTCGGACCCTTTTCGCTAGGATAGCAGTTTGAGATCGTGGTTACAGAATAGTATCCAACCGTTCAGGATTGATGGTCAGGGAAAGAGAAGAAGTCAACCGGAGACACTGATGCTGAGACAAAACTCCACTAAAATGGGGAACATAATGTGGGAGGATTTCAAATGAAAAATTAACTATTAACGAATTCTGTAAACGCACAGACACATTAGGCATGTCAAAGTTGAACTCAACGAAAGTCAACGACATTTCCATTTCTTTGCTGGATGGTATGGCAACTGCCAACAAATGGGATTTTCAATTAAAATTTCATTACACATCCTAATCTTGATTCGGAGGAAACTGGTTTCGACTTTCACTCGGATGAGCAAACGAAATCAGAGACATGTACCTGAATCTCGTTGCCAACACAACACGAAATGGGACGGTTGGGTTTGTACACAGATAAAAAGCTACATTCACATATCCTGCTCGTACGAGCCGTGAATCTTTCCATTGCAGTGCTAACCTCTTTAGGCTCTGAACCATTTGGTGGATTATTTTATCTTTTGGTTAATTATTATTATTAAATTATTTGCACTAAGGAACCGAACACCCTGTATAATGAAATAAAATTCAACAGAGACAAGGATCGGGAACAGAAACATGAACCAAAATGCATCGGTTTATAACTTTCACTTGATTTGAAGCTCAATTTGAAGTTCATACATGATGGTCCTTGTTGTTGTCATACTAAAAAAGTAACAAACTAAATTAATCTCCATGTAAAATTTTAATTAATTATACTTACAACTCGAAATTGTCTCAGTAAAGACCAAACCAATCTGGATTTCATTGACATTGGCAGCAATATGGTACAATGAACTAGCGCCATATTGTATAGTACAGAGTGAATCACTCATTAATTTTTTCACACCTGAAAATCACTTAGGGTTTACGTGAAACGAACATAGAATCTGTGTATGCGTAATTCACGATTTCGAAAGGAGTTTCGGCTCACATATAAGTGGTAGACTACATGATACTTGGGCCACGTAAAATTAATCATTTTGTCAAGCTTCTGCATTCATGTTCCATCAGATGTCACTACTGTTGTTTGCGGTGACATCTATCGGAAACTACGCACAATCTGTTTTACTTTAATTGTTCACAGAGGACACTGCAGCTCAAAACATATCTGGTACCCCTTTATATGCATTTAGATTAATATTCGAAGTCCCTCCTTTTGTACACATTCTGTACACAAAATAGCTCACCCCTCACAGAATTTCCCGCCGATTTTTATGTATGGGGCGGGGCAGAAAGTATCTTTTGTGCAGAATATGTAAAAAGGAGGGACTTCAAATGTTAATCTAAATGCATATATAGAGGCACCAGACATGTTTTGTAGTGCCAGGTACTATATTTTGTAATCTGTGAAACGGAATTCACAAATCGAGTGTCATCAAAATACATGGCATGTTGAGAGATTGATCTCGTGAGAGAGGGGAGACCGAAATCCGTACACCTCATACAAAAAGTACAGTAATTAATGTGGTTGGTGGTATCGTCCACCCACCGCTATTTATCGGCTGTCCTTCAACCAATTGAGCTGATTTTCTGCGGATAACTAATTTATGGTTGAAGCGCACTGATGTCATTTCACCCAAATACGGCTCTAGCGGACGTATATTTTGCCTTCTCTGAGGAGGCACGTTTACGATGAGAACACGACAAGCCAAGTGTGAGAGAGTGCTCATTAAGAACTTCTGTGGTGAAAACTAAAATCACTCTCTATAGAGAAATGAATTTAATGTGCTCTCGAGTTAATAATAATTGAAATCTCATAAGAGCTAAAGTTTAAAAGACGCATCTTTGGCACTTGATAAGTAATTACATGTAAACCATATAAATACAAGTAATAAAGATCATTTTAAGCCAAGTAAGTCACTACTGGAAATACTAGAAGGAGAGATGAGCGGAGAGAATGTTTTGAGCCAAATGAACCGTCAAAATCTGAGCCAAACGAGGATTTCTTATTCTTACTAGAATAACTTTGAGAGTATTGCAATCGAACAGAAATTCAATCACCTTTATGTTTCGTGTGCTTCTCAAATTCAACTAGTTTTTTTTTTTAATCAAAAACAATTTCCTAACTCTATTGATTAATTGATCTTCGTCGGTCAATGAATGGCACCAAGAAACGTGCAAAATATTGCGATGCAATCAATTATTAGTTTGCATGTAAATCGAATCAAAAATACAAGTCATTTGAAATGCTAGCTTCTAGCAAGGGTTGCAAGATAATTTAGGAACAAATCCCTGCTGCCGAATTGTATTTCGTTTTCTCCGCCTATCTCTCCCTCTGAGTATTTCTAGTCATTACATATAAGTGTTTCACGTCGTGCGTAGGGTTACCATATGGTATCCTAAAGGAGGACATGTCCTCCTGTTTCAATAATTTATTTATATCCTGGCGTGATCCACTTAACTTACCAGAGTACCCAGCGCGATGTAAACTAATCAATTTGGAAACGCTCTCCAACAGAAGGGTCAGTATAAAGAGCTTGTTCATTCGCGACCTACACTGATAAATTGAACTATTCCTATTTTGCTTGAAATTTAATCAATTTGACATTAAACTCAGTTTAATCAATCAATCCTCTCTTTCTAAAAAATAAGCATCTGATATTAATCCCAGTTTAATCATGGTTGATTAGATTGTAGATTATCTTTTTTTGAATAAATTTTAATCATTTTTGATTCTATTTTAATAATTTTTGATTGAATTCTAATCTGTTTTTGATTATATATCAGTATTGAAAAAGAATAAATTTAATACTGAAAAGATTATTTCGATTTTAATCATGCATGACTACTGCCGAAGTAATCATGGCTCGGACTCAATAAGGTGAAGCGGGAATCTGCATACTTTTTAAGCTTTTTTGATTTAATTTATCTTTGAGTGTATTGACAGGCGAGATAGATTGTCCTACACTCAAAAAAATCCACACGTCATCATCATGTGTCTCACACTTAATTTTGCGCTTATTGTAATACACATCCATTTCATGTGTGAATTTCATGCTATGAATCATGCCTGAACACTATGGATTTGAATTGTGACACACTTGGACTTGGATTCTATGTGCCTCATTTAGTGATATCAATAGCTTTGCACATCATAGTTCAATATTCTACAATATTCTACTTTATCGACTTCTACTTTACCGACTCTAAAAATGAATCGACAAATATATGAACAAAACTGCCACAGGACAGAGCTTTCACATATATTTTAATGGGTCTGATTTGGGATTCGGTCATAGACTGTTTGGGTGTGCTGCTGCCGGAATCTTCGTTCGATCCCACTGTGCCACGGTTGTTGTGATAGGATAAAGTCACAACTCTTGTTTTCGATGTTTACACACTAATCGAGTCAGTACGGTTTTACCGAGTTTTTGAATTGCGGAACTGTTCGGTAAAAGTTTAAAAATCTGTGAAAAATTTATTAATGAGAAAATTTGTTCTGAACTTGTACATACTTAGTTCTGTAAACCCCATTTAATGATAGAAAATAAAATTGGTCGATTTCATTGATTCCTTACGGATAACGGTCATTTGAATTTTTACCGACATTTTCAGTAATTCAAAAACCCAGTAAAAAAATACTGACTCCTGTAAAAAAATCTTAGTGTGTACCTTTCTGAGCAAGCAATTCACATCGCATTGAAATGCAAAACACTTTAAATCCATCTGTTTTGAACAGTGCACACTTTGAATTTTTTACAGAAATCTGTAAATAATCTTAGTGTGTAGTGTGATTCAATGTGCAATACACTTGAATAGATAGTGAAAGATATTCAAAGTTTCAAAGTTTGTAACACTATAAATTAACGTGTGTAACACATTGAACCAAGGTGAAATACACTTAAAGTAAATGTGATTGTGCATTTAAAAAAATCAAGTGTTTAAACACTTCGAACAAACGTGTGGATTTTTTTTAGTGTAGCTCTTGTCGCTCACAAAGGAGAATGACAAGTACACTCAAAAATATTACAAAACGAATATAGATAAAATTTTATGCATTTTAAGGTTTTTCTAAATTTATACATTGATTCGATTAAATTTTTCGTCAAAATTATACTAAGTCCGAATAACGGAGTGGATTTCGATCAGTGTTTACTAAAATGATAGGAAAAAGAACATCTGGATTCTCTTCGGAGCTTCGTGCTGGTGAAGAACTTCGTCCCGGCGGATTTCTACTGCGCATGTGATGAGCTGGGCAGCTAGACTGCGTGAGCACGAGTTCATTCTAATGAAAATCGAAAAGGTACGTATTTTTTTAAATATTCATAAAAAATAAAATAATTAAATAACCTTTCTGAGACAATTTTAATTTTTATTTGAAAACAATAATAATTACCATAAATAAAATAAAGAAGCAAAAAATACATTCTCTCGAATAAACCGTATCTTGCCCCGTAACGTGGGTAGATCACCTTTTCGTGGTACGTTACGGGATGTAAGATCTACCACCGATTCCTAGTCCTAACTTCTTCAAACTAGGGGAACAGGATTTTTCAGTAATCGAAGGAACACATCTTAGTCCTTGTTACTTTTTATGCCTTGTTGATAGTGATAAGTCCTCGGGTTGCCTGGACCGAGGATGATCTTGAAACAAGGAAAAAATGAGTTAGTTAGTCTTCATCTATGTGATTCCTAATCTTCTAATCGTTGTTCCCTA